ATTGGCTGGATTCAGAGGATTGAATCGAGTGAGGAAGTGACAACGACGGCCTTGTTGAGACTTCACTGACGGAAACAACTGAAATTGTAACTGTGGTTACAAAAGAAGAGGACCTTGGGTAGTGACACTGGCTTCGTCCAAAGCAAGCGATCCTGTCACCATGTTGGACAATCACAAGAAGCAGAAGCATGCTTGAAAGGTGGTGTGCTGCTCGAAACAATTGCACGCTGATGTCATCATTCGTACCGAATGTTCTTCCATTTCTATAGAAGCAGCTAGGCTTGGTTTTTGTCTTTCTTGAATAGTGTTTAGTAAGTAGTATATAATTATATACTACTGCAATTGGCAACTTCTACCATCCGCCCAACCATACTATTTAGCTTGAAAGATACCACTTGATGGCTGCTTGGGCAATCTTCATTACGCTCGAATCATGTTTGACCAAAGCGAATCAACTTGCCCAAGTAGGTGGGCTACCATCTTTTTGACAATTTCAGCAAGCTTTCCAGATTCAAGAGCTTGTTCTTCTCCTTTTCCAAAACTTTGGCAGGAACCTTGTTGGCAGTGGCAAAAGGCTACCACTGTCTGGAGATGCAGAGGGCATGCCTGCCACAAACATCTGTTGGTAGGGTTGGGGCTAGGGTTGGACTAATCTTTTGGCGAAATAGGCACTACCAGGAGCTACAAGAACAGGCTTCCAATCATACCTTGCTTCAAAGGAGTATTGGAACCAGTTTGGCCATGGCATCAAATATCATAGGTATGCCAATTGTTCAGGTGGATACCACAGCCTTCATGATAATGCCTTCATGTTTTCCTATATGTAGGCATGTTTTCCTACAAGTAGGCCACCAACAGTAGGATGGAGTCCAGCATTGCTTCACACACTAGCAAGTTGCTTGAACTTAGTACTAAAAAGATAGATCAGGAGAAACGCCCAAAGCTTCTGGAAGAGATGCATTGTTTGGCCGAGGAGGAAAAAGGAAAGAAAGAGATCGCTGCTCTGCTTAAAAACGACAAAACAATCGCCTGTTGTACTGTTGCATTTTTACCTGCCGAAATAGCAAAGTGCTATCGGTCGGACCTAATAGGTTGCATTCCTGAGTCATTGAGTGAAACGCATTGCCAGCAGTTAGCTGATTTGATTACAAACATTCGATCATTTCATACCTTTGTCAAAGAAAATGACAAAAAAGACTTCCGTATGGAGTGGTTCGGCAGGCACAAGAATGGGTCGCATCGCATCAACGAAATTGAATCCTTGGTCATATCAATTCAGCTTTGCTTGGCTATACGAGACAGGGTTTCAATGAATGGTTTGTCTAAACTATGGGGAAGGAAGCTCCGTCCCTTGGGAAGGGATAAAAATGCACTAAAGCTACGTTTCACAAACTTTCTAATGCCAAAGGGATTGCATGAGGAGCAACATCATTGGCGCCCGGCCTCTGTAAAGAAAGCAATGATAAGCATCGTCTCCCCAATTAAGAAGATGATGAGTCCAGTGTCCAATGGAAAAAGGTCCAATGGCCAGACACCTGCAACAAGAGAGACCAGTCAACTCTCTGAGAAATCTGTATTGGGCAACTCACAAGATGAATCCGTTGAAGCGACAATTTGCCCTGTGGCAGTAGAGAAGATGAATAGTATGTCAATCGGATTCGATGATCTGCAACCACAGAATCCTTACAGGAGAAGAATTGAAGATAGTCCACAGAAAGGGACGTCGCAGCATCCCATCAAGAAGTCGGTGAAGAAGTCGAAGAAGCGAGGTTTCTCCTCCCCGCAAATAGAGTTCAAGCAAACGCTTAGCCCACGCTCAAAATCACCAGTGCGGGTCAAAGGAAAACCCAACGGTCAGACGCCAGCAAAACCGTTCAAGATATCTGTATTGGAGACCTCACAAGATGAATCCATCAAACTTGAGGTGTCCTTCCGGCGACTCGTCAATGTGTTAGCTCATCCAGAGAAAGGGACGTCGCAGCATCCCATCAAGAAGTCGGTGAAGAAGTCGAAGAAGCGAGGTTTCTCTTCCCCGCAAATAGAGTTCAAGCAAACGCTTAGCCCACTCTCAAAATCGCCAGTGCGGGTCAAAGGAAAACCCAACGGTCAGACGCCAGCAAAACCGTTCGAGATATCTCTATTGGAGACCGCACAAGATGAATCCATCGAACTCGAGGTGTCTCCCCGGCGAATCATCGATGCGTTAGCTCGTCCAGACAAAGGGACATCGCAGCATCCCATCAAGGAGTCAGTAGGGAAGTCGCTCGAGCTATATGTCTTGGAGAACTCACAAGATGAATCCATCAAAATTGCCAATGCGTTACCCATCGTGGAGAGGACGTCTCATATCGACAGTGAGTGGTCCAGGAATTCCAATGAGAGAGGCACAAATGGTAACCCAGCAAAGGTGACCCCAACAAATGAGCTTGATAGCAGTTTCAGTTTTGGAAGTCAATACTCAAAAGAGGAAGACGAAGAAGATCCAGTCACGGCAGATTGTCATGGCACTTTACCAACTGAGAATGAGACAGAAATCATCGATTATTCATCAGATGACTCCGCTTTCGTCCCAGATAGTGACTGTTATACTGACGACTCGTCTAACGATGAGCCAAACAATGACTTCGGCGATCATGATGACGACTCCTCTACCGAAGAACCTGATGATGAAGCTGAAGAAGAAGGAAAGTTTCGTCGAAAGATTGATAAACTTGGCTTAGGATCAGCCGTTGACGCAGTCTTAGCCACTGGAAGAAAAGCTCGTAAATTCGCTTTCCAGAATCCTAAGGGTGGTCAAGCGACTCGATATTCTCAAATCCCAGTGAGTTCATCAAGGAAAAGGTTTGCCAAAAATGCAAAAGAAACAGAATGGATTCAAAACGTGGTCAATATGCCTGGGAACGAAAACCTCACAGAGACTCAAAAGGCAGCGTATCTGTTTGAAAACCTTCTCAAATTTTATCCCGACCTGTTGGACGTTTCTGCAGAAGAATGCGGGATTCGAGGACTCAACAGAATGCTCCCAATGGACGCACACAAAACACTAGCGATGATGAATGAAGCCAACATGACATACTATACCCTTCGAGTCGTCAAGCGTTACATCTGGGATCATTTCAAAATACGCTTCACAGCTCCTGAGGAAAGGATCAGAGAAATCACAGCTCACCTCGTTGAACCTATCCATGGAACGGTCAAGATTGACGAAACAATAATCACATATTGGTACCGCCCAATCACCAACGTCGTTCTGAACTTGTTTAAACATGAATTCAAAGATCTTGAATTTCATGAATGCAAGGTAATTTTGGGAGGAGATCATGGGGTTGGAGTTTTCCACATGTCCATCAAAGTCGTTCTTTACAGACAGGATGGAACAATTGCGAGAGAAGCAATCGAAAAAGTAGGCCATATCAATAACGGAAAGGATACCTACCAAGTTTTGAATGAAACCATTATGCAACCACTTGAGGAGTCATTGGCATTGCTGGAGAAATCTGCACTTCGCATCCCAAAAGATTGTGCACTTGTCACTTTCATTCCTCTTACCGAATGCAATTCTTCAAATGATAGTGCTTTCCGAATCATCACTCTCATAGTGGCAGCAACTGGAGATTTGGCATGGGTCAACACAATGCAGGGAAAGGAGAATATGTCATCCAAATGGTGCCCTTATTGCGATCTTCACCCAAACGAGTTCAAAAATATCGACCATAATCCAGGCAACCTATGGACTCTCGAAAGCATGGCGCGGACTCGAAATTTCATTGCATCGGGAGTATACCCAGCCAAGGACAAGGCTCGACTTCAGAAGGGATGCACACGTGCTCCGCTCTCCAAGGTCTTGCAGCCACAACGTTACAAGCCTCCGGTCCTTCACGTCATGATGGGAGGGTTCAATTTTGCGATTAAAGGATTATACGATTACGCTGATGCACGACATGAAAAAGTTCCAGAGAAGGAGCGTAAGAAAAGGATCGAATACTTTGATGCCATGGACATTCTGGATAGCTTAGAAGAGGAATTCAAATCCCTTGAAGATCCAGAGAGAATAAAACACAAGAGAAAAGAATGCATTTCAGAGAAGAAGAAATTTCAAGATTTAAAGAACCCCCAAGAGCGATTTCCTTGTACCTGCGAAGAAGACCCACATCCTGACTGAGTTGGCGAAGGCTGCTCGGTTTGGTGATTTATCGACTCAGCGCTTGGGGCTTTCTATGACAACCCCAAAGCGTCATTTGTTCAGTGCTCATGCTGTCGCTATGATTGATAAGGATAATGGCATTGCAGATTGTAACGAAGATTGGGTGGAAAGACAACATCAGATGCGGAAAAAAGTCACCAGCACATACAAGACTAGGAACCTCGTGAAGCTTGCTAGGTATGAGATTCGACAGGACGGGATTAACAACAACCAACGCATCAAAGAAATTCAGAAAGGAGTTTCTGAAAGAGCTTCAAGGAAAGGCTTTAGAGCGAAAGCTTTGAGGGAAAAGCAGATAGCACAAGCTAAAAGGCATGGCCTGCGGCAAAAGGCAATTGATGAATTTCCGCAGCAGTTAGAAGAAAACCCAACTCTTAAATCCCTCAAGGATCGGAGTATATTGGACAGACTAAGACCACTTGAGAACAGAACAGAACTTCAAGAGTAGAACGTAAACTACTATGTTAACAAAATATATCTATACTCCTTGGAAAATAGCCCTCAGTTGAATGGATAGACTTGAATACACTTCCCTCGGCATTTTCAGTGTCAGTCTCTCACATGCTTGTCTATCAAATACTCCATGGAGCCTCACCTTTCCACCACGGAAGTTTCCTCGCAGCGATCGAAACAGTGTAAAATCTATGGAGACTACACTGGTGAGGTTGATAATCAAAGCAGGATCGGCGGGAGTCGCATTCTCTTTGTTGTCCTAGATTCTCATCTCTGTACCCTCCAATTCCACTGTTCCATGACAGATAAAATGATACCCTTCATTCGCATTGTAGCGTTCCATTTGTATTCGGAAAAGAGATTGATCGATGAACGGAAAATAAAAATGAGCGCGCTTCACTCATCATCGATCCGTGATATTGGACTACAACTGGTGGGAGTTGCCCACCAATGTGAATGTATTATTCAAGCATTGGCAGAAGATTCGCTCCCTCCGGCTGCAACCAAAATAATGCACGATGCGCAGACCAGGGAAACAGCTCCGTTCAGTTGGAGTACCATACCAGCCAGTGGGAGATGCTGAGCTGTCGCAAACAAATCCGTTCAGTTGGAGTGTACCTTCATTGAACCCGCAATCAATACCATTTCTCCCATTATTTCGAATATTATTCCAAGAAAATGAAAATGGACACCTCTTTTTTAATCGCCTTCTTGAAGGCTTCCGAAAACATCCAAGATGGCCAAGTGATGTTGATTGGAAAGGCGAACGCCGATAGCAAAGCAGATTTGGACAACTGGCTCATAAAAGTTATTCAATCCGACTTTAGGGAAGCATCGAAAGTTTTAGAAGTACAGTTACATTCAAAAGATGGAAGTACTTTACCAAAACATGATCCCAACGATGCTGGCCTCGAAAAATTGATTGTTGCTTCGCACACAAGCTTGGCTGCTGCTGCCATTCCAGCTGTGACCTTACCCATTGATGAACGCTCAATAATTGAAATCCTTGACGACTCCGTGGACGACGAGACGGAAACAGATGAGACAGAGTTAAACAGAGACATAGTTGCGTCAATGCCATCTGCCGAGATCCAGCGCCTTCGGCAAGTGAAAATCACCAAGGTAGCATCGGACGAAGAAGAGGTGGATCAAGAATTCTCTCAGATGCAACAGCAAATGATGTCTCTCTATGAGGAATAGAAGGAGTCTTGAAATATGAACAGTGTCAGGTAGCGTACCTGGTACTCGACCTGATACTCGAAGGCCTAAACTAAAGTTAATCAGCTGCCATGCGCCATGCACTCGGTCGGTACCAGTTGTTTTGTTTCTGTGCAGTGAACGCGCGGTAGTAATGCATTTTCATTTTATACTGAAAAAAAACAGGTTGCGTCTCTTCCGACTCAACCGAATACTGTCTTGTTATTTTTTCGCGCCGGCCCGTAAAAGCACATTTTGCTGGGAACGAAACAGAAGTGATAGTACAGATATCAAAGAACTGATAAAGCGTTTTACCGAAGACTTGCATAACTGTTTGAAAAACTCTGACCCCATCAAGATTGATGATTTACAGGATCCTTTGGGTGCTTACAAAGCTGATGAAAAGTATATCAGACCTCTGCACACAAATGCTAACACTCCGCACTTTGAACGATATGAAGATGATGAAATGTTGCAGCATGAAGAGCTTTTTGAGGAAGCCCCATCTGAAGAAGATGATCCGGTGGAATTTGACAAATATGTTGGTGTTAAGATCCGGAAGAATGAAAATGGTATTGACAAATTTGGAGTTGTTTGCGGAAAAAAAAGAAGAGCAGATGGCTTGATGGTTGGTTCGTATCATGAGAAGCCTGTCTTGGACACTTCTATTTATGAAATCAAATGGCATGAAGGTGAAACTGAATCCTATCGTGCAAACAAAGTTATTGAAGCAATGATGATGAATGTTGACAATGACGGTAATAGTATTCTCCATGTAAAAGAATTCAGTGACCACAGGACGGATGGCACACGAGTCCATGCTGATGATGGTTTTGTCATGGTAAAGAATAAGAAAGTTCCTCGAAGAACTACAAAAGGGTGGTATCTGTGTGCTCAAATTCATGGTGAGGAAGAGACAGAATGGATTGATTTGAAAACTGCAAAGGAGGCCTATCCAATTCAGGTGGCCGAAGATGCTGTTGCTAACAAACTTGTGTCTGAGCCTGCTTTCTCTTGGTGGGTTCCTTATACATTGAAGAAGCGTGATCCTTATACTTTGAAGAAGCTTGATAGAATTCTAAAGGCTGTGAAAAGAAGAGCCTTAACTCGCAAGACTGAGAAATCCTTGTGCTATATTGGAGAAGCTTGGAACGCATTACATGCTCAAGCCTGACTCAACTGGAGAGCCTACAACATTCCTTGGTGCAACAATTTCAAAACGTTTTGTTGACCCAAGTGATTCTCAAAAATGCTGGTCGATTTGTTCGACTAACTATTTGCTTGAAGCGTTACGTGTTGTTAAGTCTCAAATCTCACATCAAAAATACAACTTGAATTTGAAAAGAAACGTGTCTGCTGCCTTACCTTCTGGTTATAAGCCTGAGCTGGACAACACTGATTTTGTTGACGCAGAGACACACACACTGTATATGCAACTGATTGGTATATTACGGTGGTTGGTTGAGCTTGGTTCCTTCCCGTTGCTTGGGAAGGAACCAAAACAAATCTTGCCGATATGTTAACAAAGATTCATACTGGTAGAGAACGTGCTCGTCTGGTGGAATTTATTATGTATGGAGAAGACAAAATTCCGAGAGTGGTACAATCTGCGATCGAAGCTCTGAATGTGCTTTTTGGTCTGCCTCCACACTAAAGCCGATGAATTGCCTTTGCTTTCAGTGGGCATGGTCATCCTTGGACTGTGTCGGCTTGGGCGTCCTCCACAAGAGGTACACTGCATTTTATGTTATTGTTACAATGTTTCTTGATTCATGTATCAAGTCAACATTGAGGGGACCATTATTTTGGGAAGTACGTGGTCTGTCCTCCGTACGTGTAGTAGTGTAGTCTGAAAGATCTGGGAGTCACAAGTTTTCCTTGTCTATATTTCGTCCAGTAATTGATCTGTTTTGGCTGACTAGCAGCGCATTTTAACGAAAAAATGCCCCAAGATTGAGCCCCCAAAAAAATTACTCACTTTTGGTTTCTTCTCATCGCTTTGGTCGCTTCTCATCGGCTTTTGCTCCTAATTATGAGTTCATCTTCTTATCCCACATGATCGGGAGACGCTCCACGTCACCCACCCCCCCAACCGGATGCTTGACACTCACCCCAATCTACGCCCCCAAATCCCCCATTTTCAAAATCGGCTGGCGTTAGACCTTGGCCAGCGCATTGTAGCTTTGGCCTGCCCGCCTTGTTTACTTTTTACTATAGTTCAATTTCACTTTTCGGTCCACCACAATGGCAATGGATCTTCAACCGCTTCATGCTCTTTGCAATAAACACTGTAACTGGGAAGTTAGCTCGATTATTCTTCAACTCTCAGAAACACTGCAACAGACCAAGCCAGAATCCATTAACCTTGTGTCAAAGGTCAAGAGTCATGTCATTGTCCCTTCAGAATGATTTCAACCTGCAGAGTATAAGGTACCATTCTCTCATTGATTCTCAATTGATTCTCATGTCTCCAAACACTGGGAAGGGCCATATCCTCTGGTTTCCATCAACATTGACCATTGCCAATGGCAGGTCATCAATCAATTACCACTTGAATGATGCCAATGGCAGTTCATCTATCAAGAAGCTTTTGAACCATGCCCTCCAACAGTGTTCATGTTCAGTGATCCAGTTAAGGAAAAACAAACCAAGAACAATACACGGTTCACGTTTTCCTGTCCACGCGCCAAAAGAGCAACAGAAAAGGATGCACCACTGGTGAGTGCGCCCGCATACTATCTGGAGTTACCCTTTCATAAAGAACTAAACCCTTACTCTATTCTCCTCCATTTCCTCCTTCTATCCTCTTCAATCCTTTTCTTCTCCCCTTGCTCCTTTTTAGGATGGCAAGCCCCAGCGTGATTCAACAACAGCTCGTGTTCATGATATTGGAGACCTCTGCCGTTTCCAAATCATTGTTCATTTTCATCACCACACAAAGCGCTGGTATCTTCAATTGGATGCAGGCCACAACTTTCTGCACGCCAACCACCACAAGGGCCTGAACCGAATCAGAAAGTTCCGTCATGATCTCCCTCTTCAGATGCTGGAAACAGCATCCAATATGCTCAGTCATGGGACACCTACCACCCATGTCCGGGCATTGGCACAGACCTTGACTGATGTCAATCTCCCGACTAAAGCCTTTACACGGATTCTGAACGAGACTAAAGCCTTTACACTGATTCTGGAAAAATCTTTGCATAATGGCCTCAGGGGTATATTTAGTCCCTTCAGCCCCCATGGTGAATGCAACACACCTGGACAAATGCTTCTTGACTGGCTTTGTATTCATCCAGATCTCGATTTGTGATTTGCACTGCCACACTTGATGACAGTATGCACAGGCTTTGGCTAAGAAAGAAGACAAAAACAAAAGATGGTCTTATTGACCCTGCCAAATATCATACTCAACGCCTTCAAGCTCTTGTTGAAGGTTTGACTCTTGACACAGGTAGGAAAGCATTGATTGTAGTTTCATTTGTTAGTAAGAAACAACGGAGGTAAGAACAGCATCATGCCAATTCAGCTTAACACACCTACCAGTGTCTAACATTTGAAAGATAGATTTTTCGAGATGTTCCCAGAATGCCTTGGGATGGACATGACCCATGGAACCAATGCAGAGAAACGCCCCCTCTTCCGTTTAGTGGGCCGGACTGCATCCAATGAAAACATCCCCCTCATGACGGCCTATCTTCCCTTTTTTTGTGAATGGGTGTTCCATTGGCTCTTTGATGATGCTACAATGGTGGAACCTCCTGCCCACCGGATACCCAGGAATCCAATCTATCATTGGACCTGTCCCTCAACTTTGGAACACTTTCATCCCAGACGTCCACTCCCACTTTGACTCAACTGCCTGAAGCATACAAAAACCCATTACAGTCATCACCCCAACCAGCAGCATATACCATCTCCGCTTCTGCCGTTGATGAAAGCGATGCAGCAGATGCCTGCACTGCTGCTGCCCTTTCAATCTTAGAAAT